ACATACAGATTTAAGACACCTTGTGTTTTAATAAAAGGAGAAAAAAGGGGCATTTTATCATAGCTTATGCTATTACTGTTATGCAGGGAACATGTCAAATCCCAGAAAAGTAGCAAACCAAAAGAGTAAAGAAAAATATGAGTCTACTTTTTTCAACATAAAATTATTTAAATGCACAGTCACAAAATATTAAATGAGTGCTAAAATTGCAACTGTGCAGTCACAACTCATGGACATGAGCTTGCTTCTGCAGATTTCTTTGAAGGAAAAAAGCTAATTTGGACATGTGAAGCACAGTGCAAACAATCTAAATTATATGAGTGAAGAGGATGCATTTATGTTATTACCTTATTCAGATCTTAGTTCTTTATTCCAGTTCGTTATATCTAATTATGCTTGTGCATTTTGTCCTAAAAGAATTTGTAAAAAATCTTGAAGGCAAAAATTTGTTTTTCTCCTAATCACAAAAAAGAAAAGCTTCTGGAGCATTATGAAGACTAAAATATTATATCCAGTGTGTGCGCTGAATACTGTGAATGCTCTTAGTAGGTGTAGGCAGATTATTCAGCATGTTCTGTTGTGACTAGGAATTGCATACTGCTAACACAATTGATATATCTGGAGACTGGAACTAGATGATCTTTAAGGGCCCTTCCAACCTAAATGATTCCATGATTTCATATTAAAGAAATTTATATGAAGGAAGATGAAAATAGGTAGTTAAAATTTTACAACTAAATATCCATTATTGAAGTTCTATCTTGACAACATGAAGTTTAAATCTTTACATTAATTCTGGCACTTTTGCAATTATGATATCTGATTCAGGTAAGTTGTACTGCATATTTATGAGCAGGGCATGCTGGTGAAAATTATGTCAGTTCAAGATTCATTCAATAAATGAAGCTTATCTTATTTACCGTTATTGGGGGGGAGGAACAATCAAGTTGTTCTGTTACATTTTTAAATCTTTTTGTGAAATTAGGAAAGGTTAGCAAACAGAAAATAAAACTATTTATATTAGATTGCTGTCCTGTTACTATTCATTTTCTGTATTTGCATATTAGAGCCTGTCACTAGTGGCTCCATCCTCAGCCGTGTGCACTTCGACATCTTCATAAATTACTTAGATGCAGGACTGGAAGGTACACTAAGCAAGTTCACAAATGATACAAATGTGGGAGGATCTGTTGAGTCTTGAAGGCAGAGAGGCCCTGCAGAGGAACCTCAGCAAATCACAGGAGTGGGCACAGGAATGGGCAATCACCAACCGTATGAAGTTCAGTAAGGGAAAGTGCCAGATTCTACACCTGGGGTGGGGCAACCCCGGATGGATTGACAGACAGACTGGGGAATGAGATGCTGGAAAGCAGTGCGATGGAAAGGGACCTGGGGTCTTGGTCAAATACAAGCTGAATATGAGTCACCAGTGCCCTGGCAGCCAGGACGGCCAACTGTGTCCTGTGATGCAAACTTAAATATTAGTTAGCCCAAAGGCTGTTTATCCAATGAATGCTCTGACTTGTCTCCTGTCAAGGATAACTTTTGAGAAGGCAGTTTCTATATATAGGAGGACAGTCAGCCAACAGAACATGGCTGCTGAAAGGCTGGAAAACAGAACGAATACAAAGGGAGGATGCTTTTTAAGCAATCTCAAAGGCTACTTCTGAAGAACCACAGAGATAGAGCTAGCATTCCTTGAAAATCATCTTTCACAGTTTTTTCAACCTGTCACACTTTTCTTTCCAACATTCACTTTTGAGAAGGAAAAGGTGAGTGCTTTAAGAGAGAACTAATTCTTGACTCTCCCACTGACCTTTCTTGAGCCCTCTACTGTTGAGGAAAATTCCCTGAGCTAAGTAAACTATATCAATCACCAAACCAACATGACCAGTAACAGAAATTCTGGAACAGTAAAAAAGAGCATGAGAGGGCAAACTCACATATTTGGTGCTGCACACTGGGTACTGAGAAGTGTGCATACTGCTCAAATTAAGATTTGGCAAACTATTTACTCGTGTTTATTCTACACTAAAACCTTGTTTTAATTATATTCTTTTACAGTGATAATCTAGTCACAACTAAAGAGTATAAACACCTTCTAGGAAGATTGCAGACCACTGCCAAATGAATTGACACCAATTACTAAAAGAGATTTTTCCTGGGCTAGCTGTCTATACCATAGCTGGGCCATGGTATTTTCTTGAAACTACCAGAATAGGGTATGAAAGTTGAGAACTTACTTAAGGGTACCCAGGAAAAATATAGAGGACTGGGAAGAATATATGCATGACAGAAAAGGAGGTACAATAAAAAATGGGCATTGTATAAACAAAAGTAATAGAACCTCCATTTATACTCTATAGTTTTCCAAGAAAATATTTATCTGCCTAGAAACAGATCATCTTTGCAGCTACCAAATTTTCTTTTAGGCATGTATCGTGAAACCCAGCATTGTTATTCTGCTCTCAGGAAAGAAAAAAATACACAGGAGTCTCCTTTAGTGTGGGTAGTAACAAACCCTTCTCCTAGGACAGAAAAAAAATAGTAAACCACCATGCTACTGCCTAAGTTCAGCAAGATGTTTTATAGAATTTACAGAGTTTAATCTAATAGCTATAGAAGAATAATATGGTGGCTGTCTATAATGGAGTGAATGTATTAGTAGAAAAGGGAAGAGCTGGTGTCATCTGTCCTGAATTCTCTAAGGCCTTTGATATAGATAAACTGTTCCTTGGTGGCTCCACCTTTCCTCTGGTTTTGGATGAAAAGAGAGATGGCATATTCATATCTTATGGCATATTCATTGCCTTCAGAAAACAGAAAAAATAATGCACATCTGTGCAACTTAAGGAGGGAATATTGCCAAAAGACTTACCTAACACATAGCATCTTGTAAGCCAGAATTTAGTGCAGGTAGAATACAAGTGCAGGTACAATACAACAACATATTGTTTTTTAAAAATATGTTTAAAAAGTAAAATATCATCATAAAACTGACTGCAGACAAATTCACTGATGTAAAAAATGTTTTTTTCCTGGAGCAGCCATTTATGTGGTTACAATAACAGAAGCAGGAGCAGTTCCCAGGAATTTTGTAAGGAGATAGAGTCAGCTGAGTGAATGTCAAGATTCAATATGTATTAGTGATACTAGGCCTTACCACTGCAAACTGCCTTTGACTACATCTTACAAGCACAATATACACAGAAGGCATTAAAAATTGTGTAAATATACTGCCAACACCTTTAATTTCAGAAGACAAATATTCAGTCAAAAAAGGCAGAGACCTTCATTCTACAGTTAGCACTGTGTTATGTAGTTATAGGCAATGTTACAAACTACAGAAATCACCATATTTTCTCTCTAGAAGCTTAAATCATAAACACAGCTATATGGAGTCCCCTTATACAATTACAGACACCATAAATTGCAGGAGACAGCTTGTTTTTCTCTTTAAAACAGCCTCTCTTCAACCTGCTCTCACTGTCACTGTATGCAGTATTCAATTTGTGTTTACAAAAGCTCTCTGGTAGCAAAACAGGAGTTTGCCTTGCAGGTGCAAAAGTAAGTGACTTAAAAAAATTTTAAAAAAAGGAAGGGATCTTACTGAATTTTTCTCTTTCTGATTTTTTTTCTTCTTTTCTGAGACTGGCATTCTCCACCCTATTTTCTAGATTCTACTGAACAAAGAAAGAAAACACCCTGAATTCTACGCTAAATCAAATATTTGTTTTAATCCCACTATTTCATGTCTTTATGTCATGCAGTTATAATTTCTGTTAGTACTTTCTGCCATTTTGCATGACAACTTTATTTATGGTATTAGTCCAATATTCTGTTCTGTTTTTCCTTTAGTTTAACCATTCTGAGACAAGTCTTAGCCCTAAACGTATTATTAGGAATATCCCTAGAGATACCCAAATAAAGTTAATTATAAGTAAATTTACTGAAAGACTGACAAGAGGAGCCACCCCTGTGCATTTATATCAGAGAGAAATGAAAGAATGCAACTAAGGTCTTGAATATCATCAGACCTTATCTGAATTCATACAGATCTTAGTCAAGCTAACATTGTGTCATTAAAAAGGACAGAAATATTTGCAGAAATGTCCAGATTATAAGTACAGAATATGTATTATAATTTTATCAAGAAAGGAATATATCTCTGTACCCCAAATATCAAAATATTATTTATTAGGTTATAAAGCTCATTTTCTTTTTACTACATACTGTGAAGACAACAGAAGTATTCTAAGCTTCCCACAGAATGTCCTATTATTATTACAGTATTGGTCTAAACTGCCACAACTTTATTTTGGGAACATTGTAGTTGAAATTGTTCTGATAGAGGAGGCCGACTGAAACTTCCTGTTTTTGCACAAGACAGATTTTTCCTTTCAAGCACGTTTCAGTTGCAAGTAGCATAGGAAATATCAAAACAGAGGCATTAACTCCAAATAGCCCAGTGCACAGAGCACCCTGTTCATGATTTCACAGCCACTGCAAAACACAATGACCAAAGCTGTGCCCATCACCTGGGGTTGAGCAGGAGGTACAGCCTGCATCCATAGGTGATCATGCTCTGCAAGTGGGCAATCATTGCACCTGAGCAGCCGCAGCCCTCCCTGGGATATGATGTTCAGTACCTCCAGCCAAAATCTAGCATGAGGACACAGTGCGCCAAGGAGGGCAGGGCATTGTTTGATTTCTGTTCTTCTCTTTAAGTAGACTAAACTTAGTCACAAAGCCAGTGATACTAATTTCTTGTTCTAGGTTTTACGTATTTTTAACCCCCTCAGACCATTAAGTATCTGCATAGCTTTGATCATCAAAGTACTTTCACAGACTTCAAAGGGACTTAGCAGGTGTAATCTTAAAGTAAGTGCGTAGGTATCTACTGAACTATGGTTTCAGGTGGGGTTCTCTGATCTGGCAAGAACAGTCTGTAACATTCGAAAGTACAACTTGTTTGCATACATGTAGCTGACAAATCATACCTGCTGCATTTGTTCTTCCTCTGAAAATATCGTCATATGCCTTCCATTGAGGAGTCACCTGGTAGGCGTGGATGAACACCACAAAAACCACCACCAGGCACATTAATGGCACCAGAGCAGCGGTGAAGAGAGCAGCATATGCATTTGGAATGAAACACCTGATGGAAAAAAATGGAAAAAAATGCTGTTGATGAGCATAAGAGACTCCTCAAAAGGCCATACATAGAATACAGAAAAAGGATGTGCTTTACAAACCACAAATTCTTTAACTCTGTTCCCAGAATAACCTTGATAGGTTCCTTTGTGTTCTGTTGGTTCTTATCTCATCATTATATCTTAAGAAGTATAGCTTTTACTGTTCCAGTATGCATGTTATATTTAACTTAACCAATTTTGAAACACTTTAAACTTGAAATGAAAAATACTGCATTTTAACCAACTACATGCTTCTATATTCATTTTAAGTGATCATTCTTAGTCACCAATTTCTAAAAGGACATTATGCAATGCCCTATACTTAGCTCCTGAAAGAAGAAATTAAATTTTGAACAAGATATTTTTAAAATAAATTTACAGGTCCTAAAGACAACATAACTATTCCTTCTCAAGTCATTTGCTCACAGAAACCAAGTGCTCACTCCCTCCCCCTTCTTTTCTCCCCAGTTGTTCAGTCTCTCCTTGGCCTTCTCATTTTTGTAAGTTATAATTATTTTTAAAGATGTGTCAAAAATATGAATTATTCCTGAAAGAGTCAAATTAGGCATATATGATGGTGACTCGTAGAAAATGGAGATCGTTAAAGAGAGCTCTCAGGGGTATGAGAGATCAGGGTTTTCTGTACTCTCCCTGGAGACCAGAATGTGCTTTACAGCCACTGACCCACTCTACAGATGATGCACAACAGAGCAGCCCAAGGGACTGTGCAGGAGTCAGTATGTCTAGAAATTATGTAATCACGGCTATCCCTATTAAGAGGGTGTAACTTACAGCCCTTCTGTTTCTCAGATCAGCTCATCTAAGTAAGCTTAGCATTGATGCTGATATATGTCTGAGAGAGGCCTAGGTATGTGTTTCACTGATATAATTGGTTGGATAAACCTTCTGGGTTTGCTTAGGTGTACTTTCATATACTGCCAGAAAGTCAAGATTGCATCCTGTGTTGTATCTTTCAGAACAGCAGTCATGCACACTCAGTGAATCCCAAAAATAATTTCCAGCACAATCTAGACACCTTTCCCAGCTCTCTGCAGAATATAGAGGCTCGATCAGACACCAAGCTTAGATATCATCTGATAACATAACTGAACAACTACACATCAGGGAAAGTAGGAACTCTGCATTGCAATTCATAGTGTTTGTTCCTTTCCTCATAGAAGAGATACTTCAGTCCTTTGCTCATCTTGGGCGGCCTTCACTGGACTTTGTACACTCTGTGCATGTCCCTTTTGTACTGAGAAGACCAGAACTGAACCCAGCACTCCAGGTGTGACTTCATGACTGCTGAACAGAGGGCAAGGATCGCCTCCTTTGACCTGCTATCAACATGGTTAATGTGGGACACAACATCCCATCCACTTAATCTTTCTAATTTTTATTATTTCTTAGGTATGAAAGTTATCTTTTTTCCCCAAACGCATTCTTGAGTTGGCACAATTAGCACTAAGAAATGAAATCGTATTACCACAACCTATGCTGCTTTTAATGATGATACTGAAGGCAAGAATCTTAGCATAAGAATACTTCTCTATAAAATCATATTTATGTTCTCAAATCTGTATTTTTTTCAACTTGATGAATTTTTATGTTTCAAAGATAACATACGCTCTGTGGTTGATGCTTTGTGTGAGGGGGCTCCCGGGACGAGTGAAGAGACACGAATCTTGACTCCATGTTTCAGAAGGCTGGTTTGTTATATTATGATATATATTATATTACAATGCTATATTAAAAACTATGGTAAAAGAATAGAGAGAAAAGGATTCATCAGAAGGCTAGAAAGAACAGGAATGGAATGCAATAACAAAGACTTGTGACTCTCAGAGTTCGATGCAGCTGCATCTGTGATTGACCCTTAATTAGAAACAATGTACCAATCACAGATGCATCTGTTGCATTCCACAGCAGCAGATAGTTATTGTTTGCATATAAACAATATATATTTATATATATTGTTTATATGCAAAACATATAAACAATATATATTTGTTTATATATAAAAAATATAAACTGAGGCTCCTCAGCTCCTCAGGAGAAAAAATTCTAGCACAGGTTTTTTCATAAAATGTCATGGCTACACCACTCCAAAAAACTACCAGAGTTTTTTGAAACTTTATTGTGAACACTCCTTTATATTCAGTTTAAAAAAGCCTGTATAAAAATGAAAATCTATAAAGACAGATCACTTTTACTAATAACCTCAGGTATTTGCTCTAAAAAATATACTGGAAAGTTATGTAAAGAAATACACAAAGCTTACTTTGCATTTTCTTCTTGAAGAATGACAATGACAATGACAACCACATCATTCTGTAAGATTTATTCATATATGGTCATGTGATGACATATGTTGACAGATTTTATAATACAAAATATATTTTATTATAGAAATCATATGGGATTACATTATAGGGACCAACTGCAATTATTTATTGTACTTAATATTGGGGACACAGCTATTATTCCATTACCCTGACACATTTGTCACATGGAACTACTGCGTCTTGCATATTCCTAGCACTGGATAAAAATATTTTCAAAAATCCCAAAATATCAGCTAAGTCAAATTCAGAACAAAACTACTCTATTTTAAAAGGCCTAGAAAGACTGATGTAGAAACTTGAAAAAACTACATAATTATAAACATTATTTGTCTGAAGATGAGCATTATTTCCTGCAGTACAGCTTTCCAGCAAGTTCCTTTTTTTCTTTCTTTTTTTTTAAGACTCTAGATTTCTGTAAGTATTTTGTTTTGTTTGTTTTGAATTTCAATGATAGTAAAAAAACCAACTAAACAACAAACAAACCAAAAAAATCTATCAACTGAAATACTGCCTTCTGCAAGAGAGACAAAAAACCAACCAAAAAAAAAAAAAAAAAAAAAAAGCCAAAAAATCAGAAAACCAGCATTTTTAGCTTCTTCTTCAGTTCTCATTTTATTACACAGATACCATGACTTCCTAGTAACACTCCTTTTTATCAAAATGTATTTTTTTCCTCACCATTTTGAGAATTTTTGATCCCAGCTTAGGTCTCTTCTAGCATTCGAAAGATAGCTATTTAGCTTTTGTCCCAAGCAGACACAAGTCTTGCCTTTCTTGAGTATTGTTATCTGACTGGAGGGCTCAACTTTGGTTCTGTGCTGATTGCTTTGTTTTGATCATTGACTTTATTGATGTCTAATTTTGTTTTGATTGCTATAAATTTCTTTAACTTTGTGCAAGGACTTAAAGAATGCAATTGCATGTCGCAAAACACTGTCCCTATGAGAAAAGCCATCAACAGGAACTTGAGATAAGTACCTTTTTATAGAAAACTGATAACAGAAACTGATGGAACATTTAACTGGACCCCATAATTCCTTGTACTTTCAGTTTATAAATTTTTCTGATTTGTTTGTGTTTTAATTGACAGGAATTTATTGGGAGACCAAGTATCAGTGAGATTACATAAGAAAAAAACACCGAATGTCCTGTTAGTTTGATTTTTGCTGAGGTTGTCTTTTTATTAGAAAATAAATTGTGTGGGAAAAGCTTTTACTTTTATCTTATGGATGTATTCTTTTATTTCAACCAGTTAAGAATTAGAAAATTCAACCAAATTTAGCATAGGAGTTGGTTCAAGAATTTATGCATATTGGAATCATGCAAACCTTCCAAGTTCTGCCCCAGAAGGCTTTTATTCATCATGACTTGGCATAATTTTTCAGAAACATAAGAAGTATCCATAAGTAACCTAAACAATCTTAACAAAACAAAAGAAAATATAACATGGGAAATAATTGAGTCCTCCTTCCTAAATTAGAATGATGGACAGCCATGGACTAAAAATGGGTCATGGATAAAATTCAGAAAAGACTTCTACCACCTATCAAGACCTGTAACTGTTTTTGAAAATACTTGTATTCTCAAATTAATATGCGAGATCTACTGTTAAGTTTTCTAGCATGTGTCCTAAGAGATTATTTTAACCTCACCTCACTTCTTTTATCTATTCCAATCAATATGGTAACTATAGTACACTGTGGACTACACGCTTCCAACTCATGGGTGCAATTTCCTGTAGTAGTAATTGCAAAGGAATGTAATGAGAGTAATTTTCCCCCTGAAAATAAAATTAAAAAAACAATAATAATTTTTAAAAAGAGAGAAAAAAAACCCAAATAAATTTGAAAGGGAATTAATTTCACTTATGACGCCATCAACAGTAGCCACAGCTTTTGTTTTGTGTCAAAATTAAATCACAACAGAGCTTTAATCTATCCTCTGGAGAACTGAGTATAGGCTCAATTTGATGATGCATTTGTCTGAAAACCTTTTTATATAAGAACTTTTATTTATATGAGAACTTTCTGTATTTTGTATGAGAACTTTATGTGCTAAAACTTAATTTCTCATGGTGTGTAGAATTACACAGTGGGACAGGAATGTGAGTCCCTTTCAAGTCTACAAAATTTCTCAACTATATGTTGATGTGATTGAGAAAGAACCCTATTTGGAAGCCTTTAACGTATGTGAAGACACATCCTCAACAAACACATTCACGCTTGTTTCCGTGTGCAAAGGTAATCATCAATTGTTCTGCAAGACCTGGTCATCCCCTTGAGTCTTGGCTGACTTAGAAAATACATGTCATAATATGTAACATGTATTTGTTTGGGGTATCTCTGTATGGAATTTAAAAATCAACACTTGCTGTGTAATTCTATGGCTAATTTCAAGTCTTGATAAACACCTGAACTTACAAGACAAGCCACTATAGTAGATCACTTGGATTAGTCTGGGGATATTCTGATGAAAAGTGACTGACCCTAACTCTGCATGCTGGTCTAAGGTACAGGATAATAGTCCCTCCCATTTGCCCAATGTGTCTTTCACTATTCATGAGCAGAAAGGACATGACAGGAACTTAATTCTCCTGAACAAAGCTAAGAATAGATCAG